TTTCAGCTAAAGCGTTTCTTTTTCAGAGGTTAGATGCCCAGCCCCACAAATCCGGAATGGAAGAAGAGTATCTGGTGACAGACGTGTCTATTCTTATAAAGACAGTGTTACCTTTGAGTGCAATCCCGGCTACACCATGAAGGGTCACAGTCTGAGTCAGTGCCAAACTGATGACACGTGGGATCCACCTTTGCCCGTCTGTGAGCCAGGCAAGTGTCAAAACTCTGATTTGTTCGTATTATGCATCTAGAAAAAGGTTTCCCTTTTGTCTGATCTGTGAGCATCTCCAACATAACCCAGTCTGGATCTGTCCTGCCTGATGCTCACCTCAAATCAAGAGACTTTACAGACTGATTTGAGGGGAGAGCTGGATGGTCCCAATTGTTAGGAACAGATCTAGAGGATAAGAAATGAACCAGGTTGGGGGCAGTGCTGGCAGGGCTCTGAGAGCAGTGGGGATGCCAGGTGAGTAACTTTGTCCCTTCTCACATGCATCTGATGAAGTGAGTATTCACTCACGAAAGCTTATGCTCCAATACATCTGTTAGTCTATAAGGTGCCACAGGACTCTTTGTCGCTTTGTCCCTTCTGTTTGCTGCTATCCTTGTGCTTTCCCACAATGCCTTTCTGGGTTATAATTTCTCAGACTGCACCAGCTGTGAGAAGTGACCCAAGTTCACACGAGCCATGGGTCTGCTGAGGGGAATTTCTGTAACTTAAAGATGAAAGCAGAGCACTTTTATCTTCCTCTGCTCAGGATCTTCATGTCTGTCCCATCTTGAAATGGGAACTGGAAGTGATTTAGAAGATGATATTCAATAACTTCTTGGTCCTCCGCAGCTTTTGCAGGTGGTATTTCTGCTTCATCTGCTGAATTTCACAATTAACTTGAAATTTTTATCAATTTTGAGCAGTCCTTCCAGTAATGAGACATGGTTTTCACTCTTCCTTTGGAGGTGGACTATGCCCCTCTCATTCCTGCATACTGAATAATCATGAACTAACGTTTGTTTTCCCCCTGACCCTGGTCTTGCAGTCAAGCTCATTTCTATAATGGGGTGGGGACGAGAGTGTTACAAATGAATTAAAGATTCATAAAAAACAATAGGCCGTTAGCTCTTGCAATGTAAGACACTTAATAGTGAGCCTAAATTGTCCAGTGATTCTTGGATGCCCAAATTAGATGCTTAAAGGAGCCTGATATTAATTCTGGGTGATGAGTGTCTGTAAATTACCATTGTGATCCTGACTACTCCCTTCTTGGGGAGGCATCACTTCACCGTACAGTGTCTGGAGCTTGGAGCAACCCCCCTCCCCCCAGTGTGAAGATGCATTTCTGTTCTGTTTGCTGCTTCCCTTTGCCTCACTCGGCGCGTCAGACACATAAAAGGATTTAAATTGAGACCACAAGAACTTTGATATAAGCCACCAATTCAGCAAATTCCGCAGCCGGGGATTAAACTTCCAGTGAGAGACACGGGCCAAAGTCAGTTCAACTACAGTGGAATTACATCCACTTGTACCAGTGGTGAATGGTTCTGTGTGTGCAGCTGGGTAATGTTCATGAAAGAACTGACACAGGTGACAAGAGGATGTCAGAGTGTAGAAATACTTATGAAATTGAAGTAAAAGACTTGTCAAAGGAAATGGCTCAGTGGGTAAACTGCCCACTCCATCCCACACGTGTGTTAAAGTCTAAAGGGTTTGTTATGCTTTCCCTTTCAGCGACATGCATGATCCCAGAAGTGGAGAATGGAAGAACCAATGGGGTACAGCCTGCCTATGGACCCAGAGACATAGTTGTGTTCGAATGTGACCATGGTTTCACCTTAAGGGGCAGCCCCGAGACTCAGTGCCAAGATGATGGTAGATGGGATCCTCCTGTCCCTGTCTGTGAAAGAAGTAAGTGTGATTAAGGTTTTGATGGTGGGTTATCTTTGATCCCATTGTGATGAGTAAGATCTGGGATGGCTGAGTGTGGGAAATTATAATTAAGGGAACTTAGAGAAGGCCCCACCTAAACAACCATCCAACCAGTGAATGGTCCCAAAGTGGCAGCATTGCCAAAGTAAACATAAAATATACAGTGGAAATAGCCTTTGAATCCTTACTAAGATGGCTGGGAACATGTCTGTGGGTGTCAAGAAGCATCACTCAGTCATGGCGCTATATAGGTATTTGGGGGGATATGAATGAGGTGGAAGGAATGGAGGTACGTCACTTTACCCCAGGTGTGCCTTAGCCTCACTGCTGTTGTGTTGGGCATGATTCAATATGCGCATGAGGATCTTTTCCCTTCTATAGATTAGCCAGCATGAGCTCTGGTTCAGTTAAGACTCTCTTCCCTCCCTGTAGTGCTGCAATGTCCCTCTCCTCCAGCCATTGCCAATGGGAAGCCCAGCATCAGGGCGTTGGCAGTGTTCACCACTGGAACATCTGTAAATTACAGCTGTGAGCCTGGCTACTCCCTAACTGGGCAGGCATCTATTGATTGTACGGCATCTGGAACATGGAGCCCTCCTCCCCCTCGGTGTGAAGGTGCGTTTATGTTCTGTTACCTAGAACTAAGAGGAAGAAGCTTCTACCACAAGATTTAACATGAAAGACAACCTCACCAGTGCAACAGAATTAATAGCAGAGAATTTAAGCTCCATTTAATTAGACACATAGTGAAATAAATGCTTTTGAAAATAAAGGCACTGTATGCACAGTCTTCACTCCTGTGTGCGCGTACACAGATGTACATTTATTAGGGAAATATTGGGAAAAAAGCATCTGTCTGAAACCCTAGGCACACTTAACATGAATTACAAAAACTGGAAACTAATATCCATGCTCCCCTCACACAGACAGACACACCAACCTCTGCCGCCAATCCCTACCCTTGCTACACGCTCAGTCAACAGAAAAGATTTGCAGTGGGTTCCCCCAAGGCCAACGGGGCTGTACTGTTTCAGAACAAGTGCAAGGAATAGATTCCGAAGTGAGGCCTCTCACAAGGAGCTCTCCCGCCAGCCCTACTCTCTGTCACTGAGAGGGATCCATGTGGGGCCTCTGTTCACCACAAGAGAAACATTACAGAACCTCGGGGATGTGGTTTTAGGCAATATACTGTTTGCAGTTGAGAGGTTAAAAGCAACACCATAAACACTCCCCAGAAACCGGTAGGGAGCCAGTGCAGAGCACAGGTACCAAG